TTATGATTTGTGTACGATGCAGTACCTAGTCTATGTGATAGTCCGCATGGTTCAGAGATATGCCCAGGTGTTCCTCGGGGTTTGTTTGATGTCTAGCTTGGAGATGGGTGAATTATCGACTGGAGATTGTTAATAGCTGTGGACCACGATTCGTGAAGTTATGACGTAGACTTCGACTGCGCAATCGAGGAGATCACGGTTGTTTTATTCTCAAGTAGAATTGCAGAGCACAGATGACGAAGCAAAAAAGAAAAAGGAAAAGAAAAGAAAAAAAGAAAAAAATTACATATAAACAACTAAACAACTAAACAAGTAGGTTAACCCGCAAAACACCCGACTGAACTGCGATATCTACATGGGAAGTTCTGCTTCAGGAGGTTTCCTCTCCTGAAAGACCTAGACTTGCTCGCTCTGCTGGGCAAGACTGCTAGAGTAGTGTATGCAGCACCATCACATGCATCGCTGTGGCAGTCGACTTGGAGAGACCACACGGTAGCAGACCCCTTTTATCAGCAGCACAGATGATGCACCAGGATGGTTGACAAGGCAGATCCGTCCTGCTCGATTGGAGGACGGGGCGAGTAACACTTGCGTCGTCCAATTGCGAGCAGCCGGCAATCCCCGCAAGCCGTCAACGAGCCTCCACACCACACGTGCGTTGGCGGACTCGGAACATGCAAGTGCACATTGAGAGTGCCGGTCTCTCGGCCGAAGCATGTCCGTGAGGCCACGATAACAGACCCCGAGGCATGACAGAGAGAAGGAGTGCGAAGCTCTGCCGCGGTGCAAACTGCGTTGTAGGAATTCTCCATTTCCCTACTTGTGTGCTTTGGTGCCCAGTGGATCAAACTGACAACAAGCCTGCTCCGTGGGACGAGGACGGAGCTTCTGTCCGGCCCTGTCGAGCTTTTGTTGCGACGTGAGCCGGGGTTGTACAGTTTGACCCACCCGCGGTCCCCAGCCGTGACGGGCCTGGTCTGGACAGTCCCCTTTTGTCCCGAGGCAACGCGGACTTTGGGCATTTTTCTGATGACCATGATGCCACCGCCAGCAAGGCCCCGCGAGGCCTCGTATCATGAGGAAGCCTGGAGTCATCGTACGTGTCGATCAGTCCATCTTGCCACAGGACTCCTGCAGCCTGCTTTGTCTCGCCTGTCCCGCCTGCCCCGTCTGCCCCGTCTGCCCCGTCTGTCTCGCTAGTTGCAAGGTGTGGCTGTGGTGCTCCTTGCATTCCCCTCTTTGGGATCTTTTGCCCACTTGCCATCTCGATCCTGCATGGGATGTTTCGCCCATGTGCCACAGGACATGCGAGCCAAGAGCCGGGCTGTGGCGCCACCAGCTCTCGCCCCGCCCTCTGTCCTCTCTGGCGTTCCAAGGCAGCTTCCCGGTCGCCCAGTCGCTATCCTAGGCGTGACTACACATGCGGTCTTGGGAGACGTAGCATCTGAGTACGGAGTAGCATGAAAAAGAGAGAGAAAGAAACACACTGCTGGAGATGCAGACTGGGCGACGACCAAGGCCGCGTCCCATGACGCCGGCGTCTATTGGCGGTGCACCGAGGCAAGCTACTACTGCACTGCAGCTGCCAGAGCCACCGGAGAGCCACTAGACGAGCCACTGAACGAGCCGCTGCGGGCGCCTGCCGGCGTTGATCGACGTCACCCTCTCGGCCTTCTCCCCCGCAGTCTGACGCACCACCCCCGAATCGGCAGCCTGAGCGCGCTAGCTACTCCGTTCAGAGTGCTCGGCGTGCAGCTCAAGCGCTGTAAGCTCCGGGACCAGCGCAGGGGTGTCGCCGCTTGTTGCGCATCCCAGCTTTATTCCTGCCATTCCTGCCACTTCCAGGTTGCAGGTTGCAGGTTGCACAGGGTAAAGTCCCATCCCTCTGCCCCCCCCACCCGCCGTCATCGTGCTGCCTCGCCATCTTATATGTCGCGTCCGGCGCTGCTGTGAACCCCGTGCTACCACTACTTCTCCTTCTCGTTAGGTCTCGCTTCCAATACATCTCGAGCCCCAACGCCCTAACGCCCTTCGCGACACAGCTCTCACCACTCCATCATCGAGAGACGGTCTCCGTGAAATCACCAGCCATGGATCGCCTTCACAACAGTATGTCTATGCTGTGCAATCAGCTAGTTCCCTTGTTCTATCTATCTATCTACAGCATCGCTGACAATACTTACTCTACCAGTCAACCCGTTCGCCAAGCGCGATGAGCACAGCAAGAACACCATCGTCACCTTCAAGGTGCTCTCGGTTGTCACCTGGCTGCTCTCGGTTGTCGTTTCCTTCGAGTATGCCACCAACGACCCCCTCGATGGGCCCTACCACCGACGCTCCATCTGGCATCAGAACGACCACTACCTCACCGCCTTCCGCATGAACCACATCATTGCGTCCATTTACTGGTAAGTGCCGCTATCTGCTGCTGGAGACGTGAATGGTGGCGACCCAAGCGACTAATACGCAGGCCCAGGCTCGTTCTATTTATTTTCCAGGCTGTCTACATTACCCATCTCTTCTCCAACACCGTTGGCCGCGTCAATGAGGCTTGCTCAGTTGGTAGCCACTTCATCGTCAACAACTTGCTCCACTTCGCCTGGGTCATGTTGTTTGTGCGCTCCTTCTTCGCCCTCTCCGAGTTCATCCTGATCCTCAACTTTGTCAACCTGACTTCGCTGTACTTCCGCCACTCTGGATATTCCCGCTTCATCCACACTCCCGTGGTCTCGGGCCCTTTGGCGTGGACGTTTGTCGCGATCTACTGGAACGGCGCCATCATGGTTCACCACCCCGAGGGTCTTGTGGCTCGTATCTTTGGCAACGTTTTCATCTGGTCGATCCTGGCTTACGGCCTATTCTTCATCATGGTTTACAAGGTCCGTGTGATTATCTGCCCTCTCATGACTTTCCTGCGCACTTTTTGCTAACATACCAAACAGGACTACACCATGGGTTTCAACCTCAGTGTCTTGTCCGCCGCGATCGGCGTTGCCCAGTTCTTCCGCCAGATTGTTGCCTTCCAGTGGATCTTTGCATTCACCATCATGTCCGTCCTCTTCGTGTCGACTGTGGTGATTGCCATCCCCGCCGCCACAGGCAGAGGTAGCACCGCTCCCGGCGCCCAGACCGATTCCGAGCGAGCACCCCTGCTTGCCGACAACTAAAGTGAGCCTGCTCGCAGGCTGTCGGCCCTTTGACTACTAGTGAGACTGCAGCAAACCTAAAGAGGCCAGCAGTGGCCGGACTGCTCTCAAACGTAAACATGGAAAACTGTAAGGGGTGTCTTGATAATCCCCAAGAGATCGAGATGGGTGTCGCGGTGAAAACTCCCATCGGAGTGTTGCTATGCCTTTAAGTCGCATTTTTGGAAGTCACGGAGTTTGTGTGTTTATGCAGAATTATTCGCCACAGATAAATCAAACCAAAGAGCCCACTACTTGATATAGAAGTCAAGATTGACATGAAATGTGTTTTACATCGTGACCTATGCGGGGCTTATTGGTTGACTGAACGTCACAAGTTCGCACGCGGGCACTGGGTCGCGCCTGCTAGTGCCGCAGCGGACCCCTGTGCTGGCTGTGAACTACGCACCTGCCGCGCTACCGATTGTCAACTCGCCGACTTCTCGTGATAATCCCTTCACCAACGAGAAGGATTCTTCAAGCCTTTTTGCTCAAAATTTTGATTACTACAATGTTACCTTTCTCGATAGGAAATGACATCTGCCACATACCAAGGATTTACAAGATCCTGAGCGCCCAACACGGTCCCAAATTCATTCACCGGATCCTCACACAGCAAGAAACCTTGCAACCAAGAGCTCAGAGAGTGTTGCGCTGTATCCTCGAGACCAATGCGGATTACACCCCGACAGGACCTGACGCTTCCAATCGTAGTGAACAAATGCAGAAAGCAGCCGAGTACATGGCTGGCAGGTATGATCTTGATGCCTGACTTCTTGTCTTGGTGGCTGTCTTGGCCTCGTTCGCGCATACATGAAGGACCATATGCTGAAATTATTGAATCACAGGTTCGCGGCCAAAGAGGCCGCCATCAAAGCACACCCACAACAGAACCTCACTTTTCACCAGATTGAGATTCAGCGACTGAAGATGCCGCACGGTACTCCGCAAGTCGTAGGGGAGCTCGGCGCCTCGGCCAAGAATGACCCCGAGTCCAGCGGCCCTCCGGTAGCGAAGATCAGCCCTGGCAATGGCCGGACTCCGATGCTTGCCTCCATCAGTATCAGCCACGATGGAGATTATGCCATGGCCGTATGTCTCGGCTCAGCCGAGTCTTGAAATAAATTTCCAACTGCAGGCGTATATCAATAAGAACAGGCAGCTCATTGCTCAGAGGGACATTAAATCGACTTGGCCTTCGCGTCATGACCGTCGCACCATGACGCCTGTTGACACAGAAGCACTGACTTACATGGAGCCGTGGGGGTAACCGAAGATTGACTCACAGGCGATAATGGCACGAGGAAGTTCTAGAGACGCCTTGGACAACAGATCCGACAAGAATCTTGCATATTCACGCCACTTACGACTTCCAGCCAGTCGCCATAATCCCACAAGCACATGTTCGGCCCCTCCCCAAGATATGTCTACGTGTCATTTGTTGGAAACACCTTACCATGTGAGTAACACCACAGTGTTACGTTACTGGGAGCTTTGTGTTTGGTTTCTTTACACCTGACTTTGCCATAAGAATGCACCACTCGAGACCTATCTATGCCGATATACAACAATCTTGTCGTGTGGTGCCTATTACTCTATTCACCACTTTCTTCGTCTTCAGAACACAAATACCTCTTGAATCCTCGACAGAGCAAGCGAATGTATGCTGATATTGCTCGATAGCCTGTTGTCCTGAAGACGTTGCGTACTTGAGCTCTAGAGCCATGATTGACAGCTATATGTAATTGGCGATAAGAGCGAGATTCACTCCAGGGTACTAGCACTACCAATCTCTCCAGATCATTGATCCGTTGAGACTGCTTGGCGCAATGGTAGCGCGTCGACCTCCTACTCGCATGTATGAAAGTCGAAGGTTGCGGGTTCGAGTCCCGTGGTGGTCGTTAGCTTTTGCCCCGCTCCCCGCTCCGTGATGATCCGCCGTGCCCATCGCACCTGGGCTGGGTTCGATTTTTGGTCAGCCTCGCATTCCAAGTCCAGAAATTCATAAAGTACGGGCACTGACTCTTATTTGATTGTATTGGAAATGCTAGTGGTTTTGAAGATGTTGGAGTTGATGTAGGAGACCGTTTGGTGGGTTGCGGTTGCTCCGAAGCTTGCTTCTCCAAGTCGCGCTGGCCTGACGCGTTAAGCTGTTTCTTGACCTCGCAACGTTAAGATTCTCCGCTCACCACTCATGTCCTAACCAGCTTCCTACCTTCGTTGCCGCCTGCCCTCGACGCAGCTCGCACACGATGTCCGAGAGCAACGAAGCCGGCTCCCGCAGGGGAACTCCTGCTGTGAGCCCTGCACCGCCGAGCGGGCTCCCTCAAAAACGGCAGTTCAACGAAGACGATCATGCGCCCCCCGTCTCGTCGCCCCTCAATCCGAACCCGAGTCTGGACGCAAAACCTGTGCGGCTACAGTCACACGACGAGCCGAGCGCGGCCCGGGATAAACCCTCACGGACAAAGAAGGAGACCCTGAAGAAGCGGGAGTCAAAGAGCGGAGCCGCTGAGAGCGCTCGCGGCACACCAGATCCGAAAGGCGACAAGATCTCGCCGCCGAGCGAAGCTTCACCATTGAGGTACAAGCTTGCGGCTCCAAAGCCTGGCGATTTTGAGCCGGCTCGTGGGCCTTACCTTGTCCACCACCACGATGTGCCTGCTCCGGACGGGAGCACAATCTCCTTTCACGAAACTTCAGAGCAGTATGTAGACTCTATGAAAACCATTTTGCTTGTGTTTAACGGCTGGAATGCTAATGATGCCGCAGCGTAAACAACAAGAAGAACTTCCATTACCTGCACTGCATAGCCGATCCGACATTTCCTTCCTCCTTCTACTACCGTCAAACGGAACCGGCACCGTACGACGCGCACATGAGCTTCGAGGATGCCGCGACGCACATGTACTTCGACCAAGCCGGCCGCCATGTCACAACAGACAAAGGCTTCCGAATGGCGCGGGCAAACGTAGCTGTGCGCCAAGGGCGGTGGTACTGGGAATGTAAGATCACGAGAGGCACAGTCGGCAGCCCGAGCTCGACAACAACGACGCCATCCACCACCCGCGAGTCACATGGCCACGTGCGCATGGGGTTCGCGCGGCGCGAGGCATCGCTGGACGCGCCGGTCGGGTTCGACGCGTACAGCTACGGCATCCGTGATGTCGAGGGTCAGAAGGTGCACATGTCGCGGCCAAAGGACTTTTTCCCTCCGGGCGAGGAGATCATGGAGGGCGACGTCATCGGCCTGGAGATTCGGCTGCCATCGGAGCACCTCCACCGCAAGGTTGTCCACGGCGAGTACAACCCAGCCGTGGATCTGGCCGACGAGGAGGGCGAGGCGGCGCTGCAGCACGCTACTGAGGCGGGCAACATTGTCCGCGACCGGATTCCGATTCGCTTCAAGGCGCACATATACTTTGAAAAGATCGACTACCACACATGCAAGGAGCTTGAGGACCTGATGAACCCTTCGCCCGTGGGCGCATCGGGCTCCGCAGGATCCGGTTCGGCTGGGGGCAGGCCGAACCCGAACCACCCCGTGCCCTCTCTGCGGACGCTGCCCAACTCTTACATCAAGATCTACAAGAACGGCGTGCCCATGGGCACCGCATTCGAGGACCTGCTCGCCTTCCTGCCGCCCGCGTCGAGGCCGCAGGCCCAGGTGGGCGCGAGGGAAGGCATGGACGACGGCATGGTTGGGTACTACCCGGCGATAAGCGTGTTCAGGGGCGGCGCGGCCGAGGTCAACTTCGGGCCGGACTTTTGGTACCCTCCCCCTTTCCAAGCAGACAACGGTGCTGCTGGCGAAGCGGCGGATACCGAAATGGCGGACTCCTCGACCCTTGACGAGGCTGCTCCAACAGCAGCGGCGCCGGGGGCGGGGGCGGGGGCGGAAAACACAGTAGCCGGCAAGAGCAGCAACCCGGCAGACATCCTCCGGCCCGTGGCGGACCGTTTCAGCGAGCAGATTGTCGAGGACATAGTCGCGGATGTCATTGACGAGGTCAGCTTCTGGGTACAGGACGGCGGCTGCGGCAGCAGCGGTGCCGGTGGTGAGCGCAGCATCAACAATAACAACAACAACAACAACAACAACAACAACAACAATAGTGGTGCCAACGCCGCCGCCGCCGCCGCTGCTGCTACCGCTAGCGAAGGACCAGTAGCAAGTAGTGGTGGTCTTGGTAGTAGTAACGGCAGGGCCGGCGGCGGCTTCGTGCCGCCCGTGTTGGGCGGAGTAGGGCGCGAGGAAATCAAGGAGCTCGTGCAGGACGACTAAGGAGCAAGGACCACGGGGTGCTTGCTACCAGTGCGAGAGGAGACACTGATATTTGTAGATAGATGTCCCAAATAGATCAAGCATGGAGCCGTCCTGGCGAAAGACAATCTTGTAGTAATGTCTGGGCAGGGCACACCTTGAGTATCCAAAAGAGGACCAGCCGTCACAACGTCGTGGGCACCAGGCGAGGGGGGTCAAGGGGTATCTTGTGATTAAATGTAACTTCTACCTAAGAGCTCATTATTTGCTCGTGATTTGTACGTATAATAGAAGCATCCTCGTACTAGTTCTAGGCCCCAGCAAAAAAAACACTAAAGTCATGATTTCGTAACACGCCGGTGGTGGCTTCCGCCCGTCATTTGCTACACAACAAACAGTCCGCAGACAGGGTTTCAAGAGATGGTCAGTTTTCCTTGCCACCCCTCAACAACGCTCGCTATAGCTTCTTTCAGTGAAACCCTCTTCTGCTTCCCAGCAAATACAGATTTCACTTGCGCGGCGTGGCAGAAGAAGAGGTGCTGACCTCATTAGCGGGGTTCAGAGGCGATGGGCTAATCAGCGGACGGCCGTCTACGGCGCTGCTGGCCTCATCCTGGGGGGGAGCGGGGAGCTGCAGGTCGTCGGGCAGCTCCTCGATCCGGTCCTTGCCGTCGATGGGGTTCTCGCCTGCCTCGCGAATAAGACGCTCCTCGCGACCGCGCTTGTAGCAGTACCAGAGGACTGAGAGCAGGACTATATGACAATGAAAAGAATATTGTTAGTTTCCTTTCCCTTTGCCAAGGGCCAAGCAGGGGCTGGGAACGTTTAATTATATTTGGGACTTACGGAAAACGGCGACACTCCAGATGACGTTTGTCCCGATGAACGCGGGCCAGCGCGCCTTGAGGGCGTTGACGATGCCCTTGAGCAAGCTGACCACGGCGCCCGGTTTGGTGACGAGGTCGTGCAGGTTCTTTGGGTTGGCAAACTGCTTGGCTGCGCCTTTCATGCTGACGCCTGCCGAGCCCGCGGCCAGGCCCTGCGCCTCTGCGGCCATGGCGAGAACCTCGGGCCCGAGCTTGGCGCTGAGCTGGTCGGGCAGCTGTGTGACAAGCTTCTGGAGGCCTTTTGGCAGTTTGTCGAAGTTCTTGGAGATAACCGTATCGCGGTCCTCGATGAGCTTGACGAGGTCGTTGTAGGCTGTCGGCACGCCGTTGGTGAGGTCCTTCAGCACCTGGGTAAAGCGCTGGACGACCTCGGCCGAGTCCTTTGACAGCGAAAAGACCTTGTTGTCGGTCGACGAGGCCAAGCTCAGGTCATTGAGCACCCTCTCGACCTCTGCCTGCTCCCTGTCGGCCTCGGTCCCGGACGGCACGGCCAGGGTGTTGGCCTTGGGGCCTGTTCCTTTGCCCTTGCTCTTGTCCTTGCTGGTGGTATTCTTGACGCGGACCGAGATGGAGCGCGGGATGCTCGTGATGAAGGACAGGCGGTTGGGTTTGGCGGCGTCTGTTGGGGCTTCCGTCGTCGACTTGGTGTCCTTGAGTTCCTTGTTGGTCTTGCCTTCGGCTACACTTGACGCGTCGCTTTCCCACGCCATGTCGATTGTCTGGGGCCGCGACGGTAGAGGCGGACGGGCGAGCGGGTCGTCGTCACTGGCGAAGGCGGTAGCCGAAGCGGCGGCGGCATCGCGCTCCGAGGCAGTGAGGCTGCGGAGGAACTGCTCGTCCTCGTTGTCTAGCAGGCGCTGACCAAGGGCATCTGGCGACTGCGGGGGCTGTTGCTGCTGCTGCTGCTCTGAGGGCGTCGAGACGATGGTTGGCGAGGTGGAGTTCGTGGGGGCGGCGGTGGCGGTCTTTGCTGCTGCTGCTTCGTTCTTGCCTTCCTGGTCGAGGCGCTCCTTTTCCTCCTTGTCCGCCTTGTGTTTCTTAACCTTCTTGTGGGTGAAGTATTCGAGCATCTTGGCTTTAGGGTTAAGTAGATGTGATCTTGAAGTGGTTGAGTATTACTGGGGGAGTGTGATGGCGGGGTCGGGGAACCTAAAGATGTTGACGACGATGGTGAGACAGTCCTATTATCAAGAGACAAACACCCACGTTTAGTCTCACATGCACGTGCTAGCTCGAATCGCTGTGCTTTCTCATCTCTGGCGCTTGCTGTGCAGGAGGCCTGATGGCGTGCATTACGTAGCCGCCAAGTGAGGCAACCAAGTTTCAAGGCAACTAGCGGGCCACTGTCCGCTCGTCGTTGCTCCACCACAGCGGCTGCAGGGATGGCGGCAGATCGACGCATGCATGTACCGAGTGACATGCAGGTGCATCGGTACGGAATACATACTGGCGATATTATCGAGAAGCTCTATCTTGGTTCTCCACAGAGATGCAATAGTGAGCAAGCACTTTCGGTCAAGTAAAGGTATCTACTCGAGCTTTCGTTGATTTTCACTCATTACCAGTCCTCTATGACCTTATGCTGATCTCATGGAGAGTTGACTAGCCTATTGGCTCTCTGCTTCTTGGGTGGATGAATGGGTATCACTTTCTTGCCACGCTCCCCCTTCTTCGTTGCCATTGCCACTACAAGATGAGTGCTGAGTTCGTCGTCTGCTTCTCAAATCACGTTCTGAGTTGTACGCCCTTT